ACTGATTGACAAATTCGAGGCCTGAAAGCAAACGCATTTGGGTTTTTTGTGCCACGATGACCGCTTTGCGCCCTCAATCTGGCTAGCCCCGTCTACCAAACCGAACCTATCGTGTCAATGGGCACCCCCTATTACTATTACACTGCAGACTGATGAAGCCCTCGAGGGGCATAATTCAAAATAATCAACAATGTGACACTCAACTGTCATTGCCCCCAAGCGTATCACGAAGCCAAAGTCGCTTTTTAAAAAAATGTTTGTTTGTCTATTTGTTTGTTTGAGTAAAGAAGAGGGATAGTTTTTACGCCTCTATCGACACTATTAGGTTACTTAAGAGGTGGTACCTTCGAGTTTAACGCCCCTCTCTGAAAGGACTGAACCAAATGGGAATTTCGTGTACCTACATGTAAACTAAAGAGCCTTTCCCAAGGACACAACGTCGGACCGCGCTGAGCCTCGAAGCTCCGAACCCGCAACCTCGCAAAATTGCGAGTCCGGTAGGTTACCTTTGAGTAAAGAGAAGCCCATCGACACTGCACAATAAAGGTCATTTAATGTTGGGGAAAGTAGACTGACGAAACAGCAAAGGGAAAGTTTTAAAAACTAGGACATACCAGTGGCGCCCTCCAGCCACACGCTTGAAAACTTTGAGAGCACATGATAACTGATAGGCCTACAATGCATTACATTATACTGTCCTCGTGGTTGTATGCACCCCGCATAATTTGGTAACATTTTATCATTTTTTAAATAGTTTCTTATTATTTTCCTTTATCATTCTTTGTTAAAATTAACAGAATCGCATAATTTCACATTTTTGGGCTCAGTTTGCATAATTTCAGAATTATTTTTTTTTTTGCATAAAACCACGGGGACAGATTATAAACCATACTAAGTTATCCTAAATACACTTCTACAATAATGTCTATTCAAATTTTGGCCTTTTAGGCCTTCAATCATTTTCAAAAATGTCTGTAATAAGCATAGATATACACTATAGGTTTAAAAGGGGGTAACTCTATGGTAATAAGTCAACTAAGTTACAGATGGTTCAAAACCAACTCGACAAAATTTAAATGAAATTAAATCCTTGAGCACAGCTTTCTACTTTGTAAGTAAGAATGAGTCAGCTGGGTACGTGCCACTTTTCTCTAGAAAGAGAATGATACAATAGTAACAAAGAAAGGAAATAAAAAGAGAAGACCACACTAAATCCTCGACAATTCTGCTTCACAGGAATTCTAATTCAAAACCAAATCTATGGACATTCTGTTAACATGTTGTACTGACGATTCTCGAAGAAATAACTGTCAAGTCTCATAATCAACATGAATATAAGCTACTGCAAGTAATAATATGCATGTATATATTATAATATATATATATAAAGGAATAATTTATTTTGCAAAGCCAGTTCACAGATATATACATTGTGAAGAAAAGTAATGTAATTTGGCTAACTGATAATGATATTATTATAATTTATCCCTCTTTCTGTCCCATTTATTCAACATACAAACACTCATACTGAAAAAGATTCAAACAAGCCCACATGTGTAGCTCAGAAAAGAAAGAGTGAACAAAAGAGTAACTGATAAATCCACATAATGAAAAAAATGTGTGTGTGTGTGTGTGTGTGTGTGTGTGTGTGTGTGTGTGTGTGTGTGTGTGTGTGTGTGTGTGTGTGTGTGAGAGAGAGAGAGAGAGAGAGAGAGAGAGAGAGAGAGAGAGAGAGAGAGAGAGAGAGAGAGAGAGAGAGAGAGAGAGAGAGAGAAGGGGTAAGTGGGAGAAAAAAAGGAAAGAAAGAGAGAGAGGGAGAGAGAGGGTGGACTGGGGGGGGGAGAGAGAGGGAGAAGGAGAGAGTGAGAGACAGACAGACAGACAGACAGACAGACAGACAGACAGACAGACAGACAGACAGACAGACAGACAGACAGACAGACAGACAGACAGAGAGAAAAGATAACTCCAAAAGTACTGCTTGAATTATTTGTTCAGTAAACTCCACCAAAGTATACATCCAAATGTAGATAATTTCTAAAGATCATCCATCCAGAAACAACACGTACATAAATCCGTTCTTTTCCTTTCATTGGAAGCTAGAAGCTGTCTATTGAATTCTTAATCTCTTCATGAATTTCCCTGAGTGTTCTACCCAGTTTCTCTTCGATATATTGCTGCCTGCTGTTAGGCTGTTAAATTTCCCTGTAAAAGATGGAAGTTCAGTTCCTCCCTGGGAAACACTTTTTATCGAGTACATGTGTCTCCATCATTCTTCAGGAATCAGTATTCTACACAGCCGATATTGGTTCTGAAAGTGAAAGGCAGGGTCAAAATGATGTAGACCTACTAAACAATCTAAACTGTGTTGACGGGGGTCAGAAAATATACACACTCGTACAATGTAATTTCGCAGTAATGCATCTATAATCAAGTATAACATGAGGAAAGATTACCTTCATGGGTTTATTTGTTTCTATACAATGTCATGTCTTTCACCGTTTCATATTATTCTCATGTACATTTGTACTGATAAACTGTTTTAAAAAGTTAAGTTGATTTTACAAACAGAAAAATCTTATCTTGGGTATCAGTATCAATGCACTAATGTCTACATCAGATACATTCTACCAATGACGGAAATGTACAAGTACAAGTTCACACTAAAATACAGTATAACACAGAAGACTCGAAATCACCCATCCATCGAACTGTGCCTGCGGTCCCGGTTTTTTTTTCTTCTTTAACTTTGTAAGATATCCCTCAAATTACATGTACTGACTCTTACTGAGTCCGGTCTCAACGAATTCGAGCTATCCATGTCATATTGTTGGCCTGTTTGAAAAGAAGAAGATTTCAGTCTGTTTAAACGAATGTCTCCGGCTACACTTAACAGACATATATATATATATATATTACATATGTCCTGCTTAAAAACATTTTTATTGCAACACAACAGCTGGAAGCAGATCTAACTGAATCAATAATACAAGGAAGACAGTGTAAATATATTTAGTTCAGACAGAAAAGTAGGCTATAGAAAAGGCCCTCCTATAGTTCGGTACAAAAATCTTTCCTGAGAGCATGATTTTATGATTTTGTATAAACTTTAAAACTAATCAACTTTTACTCTACACAATGGCATTTTTATCCAACCTATTCCTTGTCATTAAGACAGCAAAACAACACAAAGAAGAATGATACCCAGCTGTCTTAAACAAAGCACAAAGCATAGCTCGATCAATCAAGAGCTGATCCTTTAACTTTAACATTAGTCTTCATCTTTTTCCTCAAGTGACGGACCTGAAGCAAATAGCAATCACTTTTCGCAAGTCGTTTCTCCGCACATTATGCTCTGGAGAAACCTGCGTGTGTCACAACGCAGTGGAATCAGGCGCTCGTGAAGTTTTTGACTATATTTGGAGTTACTGGTATAATCTTAAAGCCTGTTTATTTGTCTTGCTTTCAATGAAAAAATACTCATCAGTCTTGAATAGAAGCTGGGATATTTGCTATTGAAGGAGGTGAAGGTCGTCTCATTTCAGAAGTAAAATTAGAGAGAAAATGGCCTCCAAAAGTTAGGTGACTTCCAAAGCCTGAGTCCTTGGAAGCTGCAAAATTATATTTTTTATGTTTTAAAGGAACGTTTTTTCGTAAAATCCACAAAGAAATGTGTTTCAGTTTCAATGAACCTATACTATAAGGTGAAGGGCCAAAAATTAAAAATTTGATAAAAATTGCCAAACACTCAGGAAAATGCTGGTTTTTTCGATTTCATCATTTTGACGAGCGCCTGATTTCACCACGCTGCCTCACATATCATCCTGGTATTTCCTCATCACCCATCTATTCAAGTTCGAAAAAAATAGGGTATTCTCTGTCCATGTCTGCCTCTTTCGCCTTCCATTTTTCCAGTGAGAAGAAGATGTACAATGCCTTTATGTTAAATCAAAATTCCCAGAAACTGCAATTGCCTCTTCGAAGTTGTTTTGAATAAGTTGAAATTAGATCACACAAGTAAACATGTGCAAAACATGCACACAGACCTCCAATGTAATAGTCATTAATTTCCGTGCCCCTAGAATGGAAAGAGACATAAAAGACAAAGAACAAAACAAAACCCATCTTCTAACAATATTTTCAACATTCCTTCCAAAATAAAATACATCCCTGACTTTTTCAACACTTATTCTGTATAAATACATGACTGAAGCAAATTTTAATGAGTAACTGATGTCCTCATAATATAATCATAATGCCCGAATTCTTGAATTTGCAATTTTCGCAAATTTCTTCATTAACCATATTTTTAAAGGGACACAACTGCATTGGAACACATGACAGTGGGCGCCTCTAATAGAAAACTAAATAAGCGCGAGGGGGGAAAAAAAACCTGTTGTGCAGTACTACATGAACAATTCGTCGACCAGCTCTTAAAAATGTCACAAGTTCGACAGAAAAAATTTTCAGGAGAGAGTTTTTGGTTCCTTTTATATGTAGGCCTACACTTTGAAACCGATACGGAGAGAAAGTTAAGCAAAGGCATTACCTATTGAGATAATTAATCTCGTGAAAAGATGTAATTCTCTAATTAGAAAATCAGCTAAGTAAACGCCAACAAAATGTACTAAGCCACGATGCACTGTGGTTCATCATTTTAGACGCGTAGTTTTGGTTTTCGTTAGAATTTTGCGGCACTTGCAACACAATAAGATCATTTAAGAGCCGAAAATACATGTAGATGTGTTACAAGACAGTAACATACACAAAAAAGAAGGAGAGATAAGGACAAAAGATATTTGATAGGAAAGAAGGAGCAAACCACACCAGACCACCCACCAACCACTCACAAGCGTAGTTTGCTAGAAGATAAATCAGTACATGCATACAGTTTATCTCAATTTGTACTTTTCTAGATATTATTTTGTAGACCTTTAAAAGACAGAACATAAAAAAGTTAATATGTTCACTAATGTTAGACAAGAAACAAGAAAAGGTTCTAGAAGAGAGTGATTTACCATTTTATTACAGACATCGTGAAACTTCACTCTTGACAATTTTTAGAACATTTTTACACATAAAAGAGCATCCAAATGACTACCGGTACAAGTTCTTGAAATTGCTTTGAAGTATTACTGGAAATATAGTTAGTACATATAAATCGTGAGTTAAATAATGCTTTGAAAAGTGTCCCATTTCCTCTCTCTATTTTTACATTTTCATCAATGGGAACGCTCATATACAGTCAAATTTATTCATCACACGCACGCACTAACACACAAACATACATGCCCACACACACAAGCGCGCACACATGCAAAGCTTACGTACAAACTCTCAAATGTGCAAGTAATTTTAAATACCGTTGCAAATCAATGCTCTGAAGTGTCATAAAAGTAAAAGGCAAGGGCCTCAGCTGGAATTACCAATGTTAACTCCTGTAAAAGTTGTTATTTTGTACTTGTGACAGGTCTTCTAGGCAAGTATAGTGCAGGGGCATAGTGCTTGCTGGCTGGTGGTTGCATGGTATGGGCATATCTCGCCAGTTGTCACAGAAAGCGAGCTTGTAATGAATGCCCCATTGTGAGGAATAGCAAAGTGCTTCACGTCAACTACTTTAGTGTTAACAGTTTTTCTTTCAGGCCAAATGACCGAGTATTCTACTTGTACAGATGAATATTTACTGAAGAAATTATTGTCTGGGTATCTGACTTCATAATATATGCTGCTATTGACCTTTATTTTATTTCAGTTCGTCCCTTTGTGAGATACTTCGGTTCGATTGTGATGTTGAGCTCACAAGCTAAAGCTGAGATGGAACTAGCTAGTGCAGCGCTTTTAATCAGTTTATGCATCCATAACTGTGCAGTATTATTCTGCCATAGGTCTAGGCAAAGAATCATGCGTAGGCTACGATGCAAGATAAAAATTTGTTAGAAGTCAGTCTACCTTCCCACTCACGCCAGACATAACATTTCAAGCCCCGCACTGCACTGAAAAATTGTAGACATTAAAGTTATGCACAGCAAGCTTCATTATACAAAACAGAGCAGAGGCCTTGAGCCAGGGACACAGAAAGGCAACATTGAAGATCCATGCAGACGACGCCCACTCTGTTCAACTGTTCCTTTGTTTGGGGTTTGGGTCTCCAGGGCTGTCTTTATGTCAATTTCTTTCTCTTGCCTCGCTGCCTCTTTGCTTTCTTTGTGACCTTCTCCTCCCCCAAGGTGTGTCAAGAAAGTTGGGGGGTTTTTCAGTCTAGTCAAATTTAAATGCTTTTGGCATGGCAGAGTTTAGAGTTTTGAAATTGATTACAATGATTTGGCAGCCTGCAGCGAAGGTACTTTACTTTTTCTTGCTTTTTTCAACATTTAGAATTTGAATTTTGATAAAATAATTCTCAAGCACAAGCAACCAATACAATACATAATGAAACAGCAATTATTTTAAATTTGAAAATTTTTGGCGTGTGACATTTCAACAGCTGGTCAACAAATTGTTTTTCTACTGAGCTCAAACTGATCATCAATTATATCATACAACTAGTAGTCAACTCTTGATCCACTGACAATGTTACATCATTTACTACAGTACAGTGGCAAGTCATTTCTCAGAAAAAGGCCAGACAACTGAAAGAACAGTAGACAATATATGCTACAACATGGGAAAATCTCCCCCTTCCCCCCTTTTGTACTGTCCTCCAAACCGTTTTCTAAACCCTGAAAACATTTACCTTTCTTCACCACCTCACTGTACAATTGGGTTGAGTCAACCTAGTAAACCCACCTCTTCACATTCCACAGAGTCAGGGAGGTCAGCTGAAACTTCAAACTCATTTTTCCAGTATCCAAACAGATACCATGACCTAGCTTTCAAATTACATCAACTGGAACTGCAAAAGCTTTAAATAAGTGATCTTAAGACATAAGACATTACTTTCCCCGCCCCAATCACCCTTCTTTTCCAGAAAGATAAAGAAAAAAATTCAGCTAACCCAGATACTCCCCTCTAATGCACTTTACATATGTACAAAATATACTTTTAATAAAACTGAGCTGTGTGAAGCACACTTCTTTTGACTTTGTGTTCAAATTCCTGCAGTATTTCATCCACCTCATTGTCCAGGTCATCTGATGCATACAACTGTTGAAAAGAAAGTTGAAAGTCATGTTATAAAATTACATAATAATGTTAAGACAGCAAAGAATGCACTGAGAACGTGGGAACATATGGTTCTGAACAACTGAAGTGATACTGAAGAGAAAAAAATGAGTGAAGTAAGATATTTATTCAGGTATTTCAGAAAAAAACCCAAAGTGCATCACTGTTATTATTGCATCACATCTCAAACTACAACCACAACATTTTTTTCTCTAAAACACATCTTTGCAACCCTGTAAATAAGAAAAGCATTTTCTCAAAGGGCCATCTGGCTTTCAGGTTCTCTAAAAAAAAATATTTTTTTAAAACCTATATATATGTCTTTTAATGCACACATCTTTTCCATTTTTAAGCAATGCAGCAAACTTGCAACACAGTAATATTACTCAACAATTAATTCATTGTGTTTGGAAACTGGTAGAATAGGAAAAGTCAGAACACCCCATCAATATTTCAATTTGCGCTGCATCTCAAGTTGGTATCTTTCATTATCTCACAAAAAGGCTCAACAGGCACTTATGTTCCCATCACTGCTCGATAAAAAAAGGACTTCATTGTAAAAGGTGAATACCCAGCTGGGGGTAGTAAAAGCTCTAGGCTTGCCTCGCAGACTGGGAGTGCATATATATATATATACATTTATATACAAAGTACACAGAGAAAATATAGCATCCGTAATCTATTTACTAACTTGTCCTGTTTTGCAAAGTTGCTATAAAAGCTTAATGGTTTATTCAGTAAACTGACTTTGTAAAAACCACCTTTGGAAACAACATGTTACAAGTTGTGTATAAAAAATTCTGTTGAGTCGTATTCTACAACCTATCAAAACATTAAACACCCAAGTCTTTTATAGGACCCAGGTAAAGAGGGCAGAGAGCTATAAATGCTGTTTTGGGGACTTGTATTTAAGGATCTTCCGCATCTTATTCCAGTTGATACCAACTGAGCAAATGATTTGCTCTGTTATATTCCTATATATTAAAGATAAACCTAGTATAATAGACACCTGTAACTGCTCTGGATGTTTTGTAAGCAGACTCCACTTTAGGACAAGTGGAGGGTCAGCATATATGATTATAGAACTTGCAAATCTAACAGCCTTTAGACTTTTTCCTCTTGCCCTGGGCCATATTGTTAAATGCACAGATCAAGGCAAGCTGAAGGCCTATCTAGTTATTGAATTGTTTTCAGCAGTACTTCAGAAGCAATGTAATATAAAAATTACCATGGTCACCAGTTCGCAAATCATGAAAGCTCCGATGGTTGCCTCCTCGTGGTTATCTTGAATGTCGATGTTGATTATGTGTACAGCTTGCTCGTCATTCTTTTCTTTATTTTCAAAATCTGTGTTCAGAAATAAAAGGAAATAGGTTAAGAAAAAAACCCCAGATATAAGTTGTGTTGTTATTGTATATGAGATATTCGCATACAAATTTTAAGAAAAGGTCTTCTACTGACATGCCCAAACAACCATAATCGAGGCTTCTTTTTTTTTGCATGACCTTCTCCAAGTTCAGATCAAAGTCATGACTGTTATACATCTTTCAGCCTACAAAGCATCTAATTTTTACTTTTATTATGCATAGACTGAACTGACAAAATATTTTACACCTGTCCTGCTCCACTAGGGCAGGGACACTTGTCCAACAACCATGGCAATGATGTGCTGTTATATGATGTGGTATTTCATTTGTGAAGACTACGTACTACAAGCATTCACTCATATACCCCAAGAACAGGGGTATGAAAAACTTTTTTTTAGAAAGACACTCAAGAGTTAAATGCTCTCATTCAATCCACATCTGCACTAAATCAGCACTGAATCAGGAACTTCAACATTTGAGTTATAAGCACTTTATCTCTCAGTTTAAAAGGCCTTTCTTATTTTTACTGAACAAACAGCTTCTAAGTTTATAACTAATGTCTTTCTTATTAAATGTCAGATACCAAGGACAAAAATCAAGTCGCTACTTGACAAATCTAGAACTTAATACAACTTAATTCCACTTACTACAAAATTAATAATAATAATACACTTTCTACTCCAACAATTCACAAACGAAGACAATTATCACAATACCTTCTAAAACCTGATCATAAACTCTCTCTTCACAGGTGATGAGCAGGTCAAACCTCTCTGTACTGTCTTGAAATCTTTCCGGGTGAGCTTTTATTCTTCTGTTCCTATCCAACATGTGAAGGATACCGTTCTGGGTGTAGCTTGAACAAGAGTTGAGGAAATCTACTTTTCATTTTAAGACAAAACCTAAAAACACCCCTTCTTATCATCACCCCCCCTCCCAAATTCGCTTTAACATCAATTTCTAAAACAAGACTGTGCCAATAAGTCAGAAGAAGAATTTTACATACTAGTACTTGGGTCTTCCACAGTTCTTCTGAAGGATGATACAAAAAATAGGGCCTACAACTTTCTGAGAGGTGCTAACTGAAACTACAGTCGAACCTGTGTAAGACGGAATCGCAAGAAAGCCCAAAAAAAATTTGGTCTTAGACATTTTCCATCTTAGACAGGGGAATTTAGGGGGAAGTGGAGGGGGGTTTCATTTCAAAGGCCCAGCCGGTGGGATCAAGGATCACTTGTGAGGTCGGCAAGCAGTGGTCAAAACTTCAAACCTCTGAACTGCTATCTTCTCTGATAATGACATGTGTCAGTCTTACTTATCCAATTACATGTACCACCTGAGCTTGCATTTCATAGAACCACTGTTCGACAAATTAAAAAACAAATGTTTGACCATCTCGTTTGCCTCCACCCTCAGCCTCACCCATCGGTGCAGCAAGCACAGTCGCATCCCTTATTGCCATGTAACAATGATTCAAGGAACTCCTTTCCTCGGCTGGCCATACGATCAGGGCAGTAGGCATTGGTCAAACTAATTCCACACCTCTGGCTTCTGGCTACTCAGGAAAGTTTCTGTGGAGGCTAGCTGCTCGAACACTTTCACGGGCAGTCGTGAGATTTCATACCCACATTACCCCGACCATCTGCATCGCTCAGGGCTCACACGGACGGGGTAACATCAACCCCCAAACTGCACCCCTCTCCCCTTCCTCGCCTAGCGGCATGGCGTTAAATTTAGAGCGGGCGGAATCAAATTTGCGAGTTTTGATTTAAATCAGGGCTGAGCGAGGAACGCATTTCCCATCTTAGACAGGTAAAACCATCGGAAGGGAGCGGATTTTTCTTTCCATTTCAGCGTTGGACAGGTTTCCGTTTTATACAGGTAATTAAAGAGAAATATATGAAGGGGGGAGCGGGAAGATTCCGTTAAGAGAGGTTTGCGTTTTACACAAGTTTCGGTGGCAGGTTCAACTGTATATGAAGATGATGCTACTTAAAGAAAAACATTTTTCTAAAGCTTATAATACATTAAGATTCACATGTAGTCATGTAGTACCTTCATACCCAAAGTCACCTTGAGGTTGGAAAATGGTTCATTAGAAGGCATGCTACCATTTTCCCATTCTCTGAGTTTTCAAATATCAAGCTATTTACAGAAAAGGATACAGTTCATAATCTTTTTGCATCAAGTCTCTGTACATTGCATCATATGTAATACTGAAGTCATAAACATTTGGCTTGTCCGGGGCAGGGCCGGGCAATTTGACCATGTTCCCTGTTCCAAAAGACTTGACGTTGAATCCTTTTTTGCTGTAAAATAAGAAACAATTTACATGAAAGAAGGGTATCATCACGTAGTGCAGTATGATAACAGAGAAATTTTCTATCGTATAATTAGTATAATATACGCAGAAGGAAAATGTTTAAAATTGTGCACTGTAATTGTAGCAGACTAGTAGATCTACTTTAGTACTAAGTAGACCATAATAATCAAGTTGAACAGTTTTATCAGACTGGAACAAAGGTCACGGCGTCACTTTTCGCCCGATTTTGTTACTTTTAGTTCGCGTGACTCAGCAGCCCGCCGGAGCTTCCCGGCTCGGGGTCACGGGGTTAATGAGCCCTGAGGCGACTTTGCCGGTGTCGGTCGGGAAGTTGTCGGTCGGGAAGTTTGCATTTTTGACTATGTTTAAAACGATATAACTTCTTCCCCATCCCACAAAGCAAACCATTACGCGAATGTACTAAAAGCTCAATGTCTTGAGATTTATTCTGCGTTAGACTGGTTAGTTTCTGTGCCTTAGTTTTTGTTCTAGACAAGTGTTTGTAGAGTACCCAATTTGTCCTATTTTAGTTACAAAGTTATGAATAAATGATTGTTATTTTAAAAAAGGCACGACAGATCTCTCCAAATTCTGTGTTAAACTGACTACGAATATCATGTCTTTTACCATGAGAAATCTTAAATCTGCGGTAGTAGTAATAGCCAAGTTATAAGAGAAGAAAGATGCATATCTGCATATTTTAACTAAAGACGATCAGCGTTAGCTCTTATTTTACTATTAAACAAGAGAAAGTTACTCTGCATTTGTTCATGAATCATGCTGTGTCTGTGGCAGCCTGCATACAACTAAAAAGATATAATATAAGCGATTAAAAAAACCACAAAACCGTGTAAATACATGGGTAGAGATAAACTTCTAGTATGGAATAAAAATAACGACAGCTAAAACATTCATTCTTAGTTTTTGTGTAGGAAATATGCGCGGACACAATTATGCATGTAAAGAAATCAGTCACATTGTCAGTTATTGCAAATGGTCATAGAAACGTAAAAAAAGCTGGAAATGTCTGGTGCTGATTCAGTGTCCCTGGAAAGCTAGAAATTATTCTTATAACCCAATTACAAGAAGTCATCCCTATTATTCAGTCAACTTACAAAACCTAGACTTAGCGTTTTAAGAAAAGTAAGGAATTTCTGGAGTGTAACAGATACTGTTCGTGTATTAGATCTACGTTGAAGATATATTCTAGCACTAAAATCGATTTGTACTTTTCATTGAGAAACTTCATGATAACTTTTATAAACTTTCGAGAAAATATGCGAATATTCATGATTATATTAGACACATAAAAATTGTATTTGGAGGAATTACTTCGTAGCGAATTGTGTGCCCGATGGATAAAATTGCAAAATTACAGCCTTCTATTATAAGCGCAGATATCATCTTTTCTGAGTATCTGCACTAATGTTATGTCGTTCATATTCCAAAAGTTCGACAGATTTTGACGATGCGTTTTTTTTATATTGATTTTTTTAAATTCACGCTAGTCCCAAAAAAATTACAATTTAGCATTGCCGACTCCAGCGCGTCTAACGAAATAACCAGACAAGTTACAACGTCCGTTCTTTTTTGAGTCTCAAGAGCAGAAATGTGTGCTTTGGGTGCACTAAATGAGAATTACCATAAATACAAGGATGCACCTTAAATTGTATGTTGAAAAGTACCAAAAATTAAGTCGGCCCAGACAGAGCAGCGACAGGGAGCTGACCCCCGTGACCCCGACGTGATAAGGCGCCCGGCGGGGAACCACCCGCGGCAACTAAAATTCCACTGCCGGTGCGCCGTGAGGTAGACTGTCAAGTAGGGCAAACGTTGCTGCTGTAGACTATCAAGTAAACAAAATTTGACGATTGTTAAGATTCCCATGCTTACTTCCAATTTGCATTCTTCATAGTAGGCAGTTTAGTGAAAATTTCAAATTTGTCTGATATGCTTTGAAATACTTTCATTTGAAAGCTCTTGCTTTCATGACCATAAAACAGTTTAAATTGTGTTGATATCTTTATTAGTTAAAACGTTATGGCAATTTTACATGCCTAAAATCCGGCAAATTTCAGGTCACTTTTAACACTGAGTTTTTGTGACACAAAAATGCAACTTTACAACACAAATGACCATTACTCAACACAAAATGCATATTTTTTAAAGTGTTGTACATCACTTTGTTAGGAATTTTACACAGAATGCACACAGCTACAAAACACCTCTTTAAAAGGTCACAGAAATATTTTTTGGTACTTCTAGAGGTTCAGGGTGATAAAAAATCCCCCGCAAGGATAACCCGAAATTGACAAAATGGGCTATATCTTTGCTGCTAATGGTGATATTTAGACAAATCATACATCATTCTCTTTGTCTTTAATCACTGTTCATAATTATAAAAGAGTTAAGCCAATTAAGTAATAATTTCAAATTTTTATGGTCATTCTTAAGATTTCAAAACGTATTTTTAGTGTTTTTCTGATCGTATAACGGATTCCGTAAAAAACAACAACAACCTCTTAATGACCGCCATAAGTCAGCTCCCTATCCTTCTTTTACAAAGTATGTAACATACATTTGTGTGAAGCTATATTTAATGCTTTCAAGTGCATAAAAGAGCTTATAAATTCAAGAAAAATGCTCTTCGGAGACCTAGTTGTAGACCCACTGGAACATTTAATAAAAGTCATTTTATGATCTTCACACAAATCCAAGTTGCACTTGCAATTTTTTAGACAAATTATATTTATAGTCTACCTCATTCTATTATTTGTTCACACATGTTTCTTCACTATTCATTACATTTTGAGTTATTATCAACTAGCAATTTTCATTGATGAGCATAATTTTTTTTTTATATTGAGTCAGACTCATTGGCCATATATCATATTTTTTTTAATGGCACAATTTGATAATGTAAATGTAAAAATATCCAGAAAGTAACAACATTAAATTATTAGGTACTGAAAGTGAAACACTGAGCAGAGGCTTAGATAAACTCTGTTCTCTATTACTATACTACTAACTAGTAAGTTTGCGCAAAACTGATTTAAGAAAAAGGTTGTCTCATAAAAGCAATTGTTATGATGAGATTTATTATTAACTCTGGAATATATAGCTAGATGCTGAATCTAACATCAATTAAAACTGTGCAATTCAAGTTCTATTTCAATTCCAAAGCCCAAAGCCATAAATAGTTAGATGTGCTGGCTTTTTGACTGCTTCTAGCCTACTACTGCTGACTTCTAGAAGGGAATCTAGCTTTAGCTATCATTTGCACTATTCAAGAGCCAAATATGGTAAAATAAAAGCAAAACTGTGAATTCTTTTGTCAGTCCGTTCATAATTTCATAGCCGCACGTATTATTATTATCCGGAGAAACAAGTAAAGCGCGAATAAATGCGATGCCGGCGCAACACGTTATCACAGTGGGCAGGGGAGAGCGGGGCGCCGGGTCGCTGACCGGCCGATTCGGCGTTTCGGCTTTTTGTATGCATTTTTACGGGAAGCCCCGTTGCGTTGTGAGAAGTTCAACCTAAACAACCCGGGTGTCAAAAGAAACTAGAATGAATAATCTATAACTTCTGAAAGATTCATAAATATACAGCCAGTAGTTTTCATTTATCGCGTTGTAAAAACTACCTTGTTTTCAGATGCAAATATTTCCAGTTCTACTGAACCGATTTTCACGCGAAGACCGCCATTTTGAAGACCTTTCTATTCTGTTTAAAAAGGTGTATCGGGAGTGGTAGTGCAATTCACAAAACGAAACAAAACTGAGATGTTTAGACCCACCGTAGCACGAGGCTTCACGGCCGGTCAGAAAAATCTACGGGGCGTACCGCGGCTGATTCGCCCTGCCGCGAGCTCGTTCACTAAACTGCCTATTCATAGTCTCTTGCCAGGCACGTTTCGCTGGTCCCTAACCCCCAACCCTGACCCTAACCTTGAAAAACGCAAAATGGGAATTAAACGCAGGGGAATCTTAACAATCGCCCAGAATTTTAGAAGTGACTATTTCTCCGAACGTTCAGGAAAATAAACTTGAACTCTATTTCTTCGAACGGTTTCCGTTCTCGAGTTTTTTGGTTATTTGCAAGATTTAGGCGTCATCTTTCCTGTGCCATTATGCGAGGACTGGGAAGAAGCATTTTTAGTATCGAATTCAATTTCTAGAGCTAGAGATTTTAATCAAATGTCTGAATATTCACATACTTCAATTGTGGTTGGGGCAACGTTCCCAGACTATACTTCATTTGAAAATGCCTTCAACAGGTACTTTGCGAGAAAACAAGACTGATCGACCTTGCCAGTAACCTATTTTGCATTTAGTAACCCAGCAAAAACTAAAATCCTTCATGTAAACAAAAATAAATCCCTCCACGCCCCCCCCCCTGCCCCATTCACACCTTACACACACACTCACACACATTCACTCACACATACACACACACTCACACACACTCACTCACACACATACACACACACACACGGGCGACTCCATTCGCAAATTATCACAACAAATCTCGAGAACAGAAACCGTTCGGAAAAATAGAGTTCAATTTTATTTTCCGAAGCGTTCGGAGAAATAGAGCCAGCCCAGAATTTAACACGTAGCCTAACCCGAACCCATCTTTATCAAACAAGGGAAGTCATCTGTACAGGTACTAGATCTATATACAGTGGAACTCGGATTTAACTAGCTCGGATTCAACGAGAACTCGGATTCAACAAGATGAGATGGATTCCCCGTTTTTTTTCTTCTTTAAAATCAATAAAAATAACTCGGATTCAACGAGCACTTAAATCAGCGAGCTCGGATTCAACGAGGTCGCTTCCAGGATGAACAGCCCACGCGGACGTGGCTTTGCTCATTTTTCTCCCAAAACGAACTTAATCTATTCCAGGAAACGATCCACTGCACCTGCATCATGAACCATTATTCACTTGTCGATCCCATGCGACCAGTCAGCGGCCTTTTTTCAAACCAACACATGCATTGTTGGCATGCGCACGTGTCTACTCTGGCGTGTGTCGGGGTTGGATTGGGGGGGGGGGGGGTACCTGCGGTCCGGGCGTGGAACGTCGCAGATACAAACGCGTCACAGTCTTTTTTCCCCTCGGCAACTGATCATATAAAAGCTAGTCTTGACGTAGATCTACGTAATGAATTGTGCGCTGGTCTATGGAATCAAAAGTTGCCGTATGCTAGGCTCTACACAGCAACACAAGTTTTGGTAAACAATCGAGTGACACAGACGTGTGCATTTGAACAAATCTGTCTTTTTTTTTATTCGGCTCATAATACGCAGGCATCTCAGGCACTATTTGTGACTTCTTCTTTATACATATGATTACTTGCTCAGTGCCTGTAATTATCTACATAAAAACCTCGAGTTTGAATAAAACAAACACTCTGATTCAACGAGATTTTTAGGTCAGGCCCGGCGACCTCATTGAATCCGAGTTCCAATGTATATAAAAGGAATTTCTCTCAAATTAATTTTTTAAGTCCTGCCTTCCTACTGAATCCTACTACCTCTATGGAACAATGAATGGACCAAGCCTTCCACTTCAAAAGTATTTAATAAATGATAAAATACGAAGTGACTATTTCAAGACTGATCGACCTTGGCAGTAACATATTTTGAATTTAGTCATACAGCAAAAAACTAAAGTCCTTCATATAAACCAAAAAAAAAGCCCCCCCCCCCCCCCCCGCCATTCACACCTGCCTTAGGCCTACACACACACACACAGACACACATAAATGATGCACACTCACATACACACATTGACACATTGTAAAGCACATTAACACACACATGGCCAATCCATTCGCAATTATTATCAACAAATCTCGAGAATGAAAACCTTTTGGAGAAATAGAGTTCTAAGGTTTATTTATTTTCCCGAACGTTCGGAGAAATAGAACCGGCCTGTTTGGTTTAATAATCCACCAAGCAGATTTAAATGCCCAACAAACTCTATAACAACTCAACAACAATGAGAGAAACAGAATCAAAATGATTTGTCCTTCACTAAAACAAATTTTAAATGTCGAGTCGGCAGTAAGACAAAGGAGTCTCTCTGTCCTAAACTCGGCCATCGTGTCAGCAATAAATTGTTGACAGGCTGGACAGAGATTAGCGACTCTCCGATTGCGACATTACATGACATGATTCTAATCTTCGTCTTCATCACCTCAGAAAACTGTGAGCCTCCATGCTACGATTTTGGTTACTTGAACAAATGACGGCAATCTTAAAGTCATCAGCCATTATTTTTGCTAGCAAACCTTCTGTACTTTAAAGTTTTACTGAATAAGGATGGTTCGATTGAACGGACAGACAGCGTTATTTTACTTTAGAGGTGGGGTGTTTGTTCAATTTCTACCCTATAATTAGAACTTCAACTAAAATATAGTTCAACACTCAAAAGTAGCAGTTAAAACCGGAAGTAGCTATTACGTTTCGTGATTCGTATTTCCATCCTTTCCAAAATTAGATTTATTGTTTTCAATCAAAGGGCCACCAAAAGAGACTTTTATACTTAGCCAAGGCCTATAGGCCTAGCTAATTCCCTTTCGCCAGCGAAAGACTACAGGATACAAGATATAACAACAGTCAGCTAGAGTGTGGTCAAAAACTCATGGCGCGACTTATCCTCAAATGAATCAATGTCACACGTAATTTGCACAGCATGCAATTTGTACACAGAATTCTATTTCTGTGAGTTTGTATCAATTAATTGTCTTAACTTAATTATATGTTTCAGCAACATTTGAGACTAGATTCTACATCTGAAAAAAAAAATCTTCACAAATTTATATAAGATACATAGATCTACTATAAGTCTCCGTCACACGGAAAATTGAATTTTCACTGCACGTCCCGCTTCTATAACTCTTAACATTTTGCACACATGGCCTGCGTCACAGCTCACCAATGACACTTTTTAGCAGGCCTACCAGACAACTTATTACAAGAAATTAATTTTGAAGTGAACACTTTTTTGTACCTATGATTCTCAAAACATGCGTTCAATAAGCATAATATACCGGTATCTTGTGGGGGTTTTTTACGTGACGGACTTGCTTTTAACAGCGATATTGCCCAGATGTAAACCTTTTAAAATATAACCACCCACAGTGATTATATCTATTTTTACTGAGGAATTTTCTAGAACACAGCTAATGGGTGTTTACAAAAATACCGATCTGTCAAGACAAATTGATACAAGTCATTAGGTAAAAGCTGGAGATTTTATGTTCAATAGTTGAGTAAATATTAGACAAAAAGTTGCGCCACGAATTTTCAACCTTACTATAGTTGTAATACATGTAGTAGGCTACAGTTTCTTCGCCCCTAAAAAAATACAATCAGCTACAATCGGACACACACAAGAACAACAACTTGACTCCGCTCCCAATTCTCTGTGCTGTCCTGGTCTTCATCGACAACGACGGGCAAACAACTTGAAATTTCCTCTATTTTTTTTTCGCCATTGAAACAACATTTAAATGCCTCTAATTTTTGTTTCAGTCTGCTTCTTGGACTTTCTCATATGGCCTCCTGTTTGCTTTTTCATAAAATCATTCCATTGTGAAAATTGCTGGAGAACGTACGTGAACTGAAAGGTCCCGTCAATGGTATACTATGAAAGTGCCGGTTGCATGCAAGTTTACACTGTAAAGACGCCATCATTAACGCTTATGATAAATAATTATTGTGCCATAAAATATTTGATAGGCCAACATGCTTGTTCTCGTGCGTAGGCATTCAAAACCATTCATTTAAAAACACTTTTGGTTGATGATCATTAGCACAATTACAAGACAATGACAACAGTAAAACAACTAGGAAATATCCGTTTAAAAGTCTACTTTGCACCCCCCCCCCTCCCCCCCCCCCAAAAAAAAAATTAAATTTTTTTAAAAAATTAATTAATTTAAGTTAAGTTAATTTAATCTAATTTAATAAAGTAAAGTAAAGTAAAATAAAATAAAATAAAATAATAAATAAGTTGTGACCCCCCCCCCCCCCCCCCACTACACACATACACACACTCACCCCTTTTTTTCAACGAAAAAAAAAATAAAGACAAGCAAGTGACGTGCACTGGATGAAACAAAACAGCAACAACAAACAAACAAATAAACGAACAAACAAGCAAACAAACAAACCCAATGATCTAAACCGGTACTTATCACTAATGTGTTTTGACCAAACGTGCGCACTCATGTAAACCACTACCGGGCTGGTATCTGATTATTAAAATGTATCATGCCAGCTTTCCCACCGAATTGCTCATCTCCGAAAGTAAAAAGCAAGGAGTACGAACAGATTTTCTTGGAAGTCACACTGAGGACCTGAACTGGGGGTCATCTGGGCTCATCTGTGCCGAGGTCATGGACGATAGGAACTGAACTATAAAATGGTACCTCGCGTTAAAGCACCCTCTCTCTCTCTCTCTCTCTCTCTCTCTCTCTCTCTCTCTCTCTCTCTCTCTCTCTCTCTCTCTCTCTCTCTCTCTCTCTCTCTCTCTCTCTCTCTCTCTCTCTCTCTCTCTCTCTCTCTCTCATGATCATGAGAGAGTCTTCAAAATACGTCCATATCATCTTCCAGAAGTGTTCAAAATTAATGTGTTGAGTGTTCATTTTACTGGTAAAAGCGCATTCCTGTGTTTCAGAAATATAAGTTTATGGAGATTTTTTAAATAGTTTATTGATAGTATTGTAGGCAATTTTCGATTTTTGGAGGTTGGTATCGCTGTTGTCCCCTCTCCACAGACGGCCCAATCCGTCATCACTCTCAACCCCACAATAAAAGGAGAGCGTGAGAGTTTGTCTCGCAGAGACGACCCTTGTGTTTACAAAACTTTGCCATCCCCTGCAGATTCTCAAACTGTTGGGTTTTGGGGTTTTCTTCCTCAGCCACTCGAACTTGCTGGAGTCAAGAAAACCGACGAATGTGATTTTTGAAAAGACATCTAAATTTGCAGAAAAAAGGCCAGCAGAAAATAATATTCTTACATATTATAGCACAGATTGTCTTTCTTTAACATGTGCTAGGGTTACGTCGCAAAAAGTAGTCAATTGAAATTAACATACTGTTACCGGTGGGAAGAAGAGTGGGGCGATGGTTTAGGGTAGGAAATTGAAGGAGTTGGGGAAAGAGTGAGGGGTCGGGACAAGAAAGGATGGGTTGTTGTAAGGGGGGGGGGGGTGGAGAGACGAGGTTAATTCCCCCATTGACACAATTCAAATCATGAAGCGCAGCGCTACCCGGTTTTGAAAGGGATACAGTAACACCGAGATACTCAACAAAAACTTTCTTCTTAGCTATGAAAACAATGTTGGCTGCCTTGTTGTGCTCTATGGTTTTCTCGCATAGCTGTCGCAATGTCAATACAGCATCCATGCATCCATCTCATTTGAGGAATCTGAACTGATCTCTGCAATAATAAGTCTTATCCTTTGTTATATTATTTTGGCGTAGACTTTCCCTAGCCTATGCCTCTGTACGTCGAGCAGCAGTCGCGTTTGCTGCCTTTCCTTTTCGGTCATGGGACCACTATTGTTTTCTGTCAGTCTTCTGGGCATTTCCTTTGTTCTTAGGTTTCATAATTCCACCAGCGTGTTCTTCTGCTTTGGTTTCCGTCAGTTCTCTTGGTGCCACAACAGTTTCTTAATAATTATGATAAGTAATTTTGAAATGTGTGTCACTCTTCTTCCACATCTTTTATCTCAAGTGAGAGCTTTTGTACTCCATAGTGATGTTTTCATCGAATGCCTTCTTGATGTCTGGGTGTTCCAGTTTTCTTAAATTGATTGTAGTATAATTCCTCCTTTGTATTTCTTTATTCAATTTACATTACCGGTAGTGAGAGTAAGAACCATAGGTCTGCGTGTCGATATAATTATATTGTAGTTTGGGACCACTCTCGAATTTTTAGCTGTAGGCCACTGTCTTTGTTTTCTGTGCTTCAGGGCGAAATCGATTAGTGATGCATGATTCAGGTGATTCTATCTCAACCAGGTTTCGATTTTGGCTTAATATTGTTAACAAAATGTGTTTGTAATCATGTTGTCCTGTTCGGCGCTTTACGTTTAGTATAATTTCTCAATTGCTATTGCAGTCTGTGTCTTTATCACTGTGCATGTGGGGTCCCAGTAATCTTCCCAGGGAGTTTGTCTTTGTCCATCTCTGCTGTTAAGATCTTCCAAAATAAATACACAATTGTGTCTTCATTGTACTTGATGATGTTAACATGGGCTCGCAAGTCTCGAAAATATGATTGTCTATCTTCCTCCTAAGGTCAGGTCAGCATTAGTGCTGCTACCATAATGACAGTAGATGGTACTACCTGCAGCTGTTCCTACTGCCTTGTAGGTGCATACGGGAGTATGAAAGGTTAAGGGAGTAAACCCTAAACAAATCCGGAGGGAGGGCCCCAAGGGCAGTCGACAGGGAGGAACGATCCGAACTATCTTCTGGCAGCCCCTGCAACTTTACTGGTTCCAAATGTATTGACCTCGTCTCTCCTTCGGACTAAATCAGCTAAGTCGAGAGGGGGTTCGTGCAAATTGGGCAAGGCACGTTCTCCATATAGTCAGGCCCAGGCATTTAGCTTAGTCGAAATTTCAAGATTTCTGGGAGGACGCTGTGAAAGAGCAAATACAGCGGATCAGACCCTCAGCTCAACCACAGCTACAACAGCATGTATATGATTATGGAGAGGACACTTCATCCTTGTTGTGACGAGCAAGGGAAAAACACGGGAGGTGGCAGTTTACTTGGCGAAACAGGATGTTGCTACGGTTCACCTTTGACGATGGGAGTGACTATTCAGTCACACTGATCAGCTACCTCCCGTCTCAAACTGGGCAACCCCCATTCAGTAAGGTGCTTATCCGCCACGTCTGTTTGCTTCTATGGGTGTATGGAGCTAGGACAAAAACCGAAAGGCAGACGTTAAATCCAGCACCAGGCAAAAAAAGAGTAAAACTAACCCCATGGAAAACTGGGGACCTGGAATGTTAGAACAATAACAACCGGAATGAACACTACAAACCTGGAGAAAACAGAGGACATCAGAAAGACAGCAATCATAGACAGGGAGCTCACACGACTCAATGTATACATCACTGCCCTGCAAGAGACAAGACTTGCTAACTCTGGTACCATCAGGGAAAGAAACTACACATTCTTCTGGAAGGGTCTTGGGGAAAATGAGAGGAGAATCCATGGTGTGGGCTTTGCAGTACACAACAGATTGCTGAACAGGATCAGCACCCCACAAGGTATATCCGAACGTATCACTGTCATGGAAATGGAAACCAAAACTGGAAAGGCTCACTTCATCAGCGCCTACGCCCCAACCCTAACAACAGAAAATGAGAAAAAAAAACAGTTT